AAAAAAAAAAAAAAAAGCCAGAAATGAAAAGCACGGTTCAACAGCAGAGTACACATGGCTTAAGTACCTTACACAAATGCACACGTTGATCTGCCAAGTGGTCGGATTCTGTATTGACTGAGGGAGTGGCTGTAATAACTTCAGTAGGAAGCACAGTTTTACGTTTTTTCACAAGGTTTTTAACCGAGTCACGGCTAGTTCCTTCAGATGGAGTATCATCATGTGATGCATCCTCCCCGGGTCTAATTTCCCCATGCACGGTACAGTAGGAGCATTGATTATGTTCATTACTTTGAAGCCGGGCAATTTCTTCCGAGAGTTCTTTTACTACAAACACCGGGCATAAAGAAGAGTTAAAACATTTAATACAAAATCCAGAGGGAAATTCGAGTATAGGTAGTACTAAAAGAATGTTGTTTACAAGCAAGAGTATACTACTTTAGTCATAAACACAAAAAGACATCACAATATTTTCAGCTATATATCAACTGGGTATGTTGTTGTTTTTTTTGTTTTTACTTATCTGAAGGCATGCTAGTTCATATACTGAGCTGGATTATCATTATCAGTAAGACTATATCTCTAAACAGCTCCTAAAAGAACAGCAGTCGTACATTAGACGAGTCATAACAGAGTGATGTTTTGGAGAGAAAGCCAGAAACACGGTCTCTCAAAGTTTTTGGTCTTTCTTTAGAAAAGAATTACTTGCTGACTCGTTTTTGCCTTGATTGAAATAGAATATAGGGGTCTGCGTGTATTGTTCCAAAAAATGAAAAATAAATACTTCCAACATCACAAAAAGTATAGTGCATGTGTTGATAGAAATCTCCATACTTAGATGCCTCTCAATTTTTTCACAACTCTAGAAACTAAGAAGCCTGAGATCAGTACAAATGAAATTAGAAATTACAAGAGACGTTTGGTACGACGGGCTATATATGATAAGAGACTACTTCCTTACTCTTCTGGTTCTGTTCATTCAGAAGCTTTTGGTCCTGGCTATGTTTTTCCTGACTTGAAGATCTGCACCAAAAACAATGTTTATGTTTCACAATAATAATGAAAATTAAATCCTACGACACTTCAGGATTATCTTGTATGTTCATGCCTGATTGAGGTAAGTTCACTTTTCAATTCGTCAACTTGTCCAATCAGCTTGTCATTCTCACTTTTCAAGTACTGTATCATCTCATCAGCAGCTGTATTAACAGATGTACCGAGCATTTAAGACACAATTATGATGAGCTTCACGAGGACTCATCTATGCCAGTGGGAAATAATGAGTTCACAACTTTGTAATGCACAATGATCATTTTGCACTTTTTGCCCATTTCGCCAATGAATATTGTATCACGAAACCGATACATGCTAGATGACAAACAGCAGCGACATGTGATCAGCACAGCTTAACAAGAAATGCCAGGTTTTAAGGAAAACAACCGGAATACAGATGGTACTCATTTCATTAACTCTACTTCAAACTGGAAAAAGAAATATGCGATGGAAAAATGCCTAACAATATGATACCAGCTTCAAAATTCAAGAACTTCACTTCTTGATCATAGTTCAGCCTGTCGAACTGAGATTCTTTTTCATTCTACACGAGAAAAAAGAAAAGAGAGACGGTAATTCCACAATTCAACCATTATAATCATTTATCGGATAAAAGTTTGCAAATCACATAAGAGAAGACCTTGAGCTTGGAGTATTTTTCATAGAGCTTTCTGTAAAGCGCCTCCATCACTACAACCTTAACAAGAAAGAAGAAGAAGACTCAAGAGACTAAAACCATAATATCCCAAACCCATTACAAGAGCATAAAAATTTCATATATATATATATATAAAAACTGGAGTTTGCACCATGAAGTTAGATACTGCTACCTCATTTCATCGAATTTCCAAAAAAAAAAAATGTTTTGAAATAAGAAAGCCCTAAATCACATTTGTAAACCGAAACAAGGATACAAAAAGGAATCATCATTCACATCCGAATTTCTTACTTGAAAGTTGTAATCTAGCACTAGCATACAAAAAGCTCTTCCCTTCAAAGTAGACAAAATGGCGGCACGAGCAATCTACTAGCTGAAAACTCGCTCAGCAAGCCCTCGACCTCAATTTTCTTCGCGCAACTGCTTTTCTGCAACTAGCAATCAACTCATGCCTCAAGAACAGCTTACAGTGTGTGTGTGTGTGTGATAGAGAGAGATGAATCTAGGGTTTTGAATTCGATTATATGCAGAATTTGAATTTACTTACTCTGTTCGCTTGTCCCTCCTCCATAAAAGAGAGAAACGGGCATTTATAAAGTCTTCTTATTAATCTTATTACCCATTAAATTTGATTGAAAATCAATTACTAACATGATAATTTTTTCTCATATTTTCTGAAAGCTATTTTTTTTTAAACTGAAAAGTGTGATTAATTTAAAACAATAAATATATATATATATATATATAAATGAAAAATAACGATATAAAATAAAATATTGACATAGTTAAAAATGATAGAGTGAATAATTAATAGGATTTAAAAGCAAAAAATTGTAATAATAATTATATTTTATATTAAAAAAATCGAGAGGAAAAAGAACAAGACTAGTTAATATCATACATTTGAAATATTAATTCTCTGGTGAGATGAAGAGGTCAGTTTTTTATATTTCATCGTGCCGCTGACTATGCAGCTGACTCTGATGGCGATGAGTTCGGATTAACGATCACAAAAACTTGTAGTGATCATTTCTTTATTGTCTAGCTAACTCCGCGACATGATACTGGCTTTCTATTAGATATGAATAATTGTCACGTGTATAAAATATATTATATTAATTGTCAATCACAAATCAATGGTAAGATATGATTAATTAGTATAATTGACATGAATAATCACAAGTTCACAACCATATATATATATATATATATATCCATTGATTAATTAGGTAATAAAATAGAATTGTTGGATGAAAATTAAACATGTGACACCGAATTTAAATGAAACTGAAAACTGTAATTTTCAACTATTGACATAATATCCTTGGAATCTGTTAAGCCACTCAAAGTATGTCTGATAGCTAATCATCTTCCATGATCACAGGAGGCAAAGTTTGGCACAGAGACAGGGGAAAAAACAAAAAAAGTCCCTAATTTTATTCCTCTTTTTCTCCATCTCTCTCTCTGTGTGTGTGTGTGTGTGTGTGTGTGTGTGTGTGTTTTCTTCTTATTTTACCCTTTTTTGTTGCTGTCCCTTTAGCTTTTCTTAAGGTTTGTTTTGTGTTTCTTTGTGTTGTTGAAACTATTTGGTACAGACAAAAGGAAGCCATGAATAATGGAAAGGCCTCTGTCTCCAAGGAGCTCAATGCAAGGCATGCAAAGGTGACAAATTTTTCTGTTCATCGTTCCATTAGCGTAATAGCGTTTTTCTTTTCAATTATCGATTCAGCTGAAGAATAACTTGTATAACGAAGAAGAAGATTTTCGGAAAGTAGTTATTTTATATGTTTTAACCTGATGTAAGTTTTTGAAGACAAATCAAACATAGTTGGCACGAAGATTTCTTTCGGATCCTTATATTGTTAACATTGTTTCTTGTCTTAACAATCATCTACATTATTAGATACTCGAAGGTCTTCTTAAGCTGCCCAAGAACCGAGAATGTGCAGATTGTCGAAGCAAGTATGATAAATCCTATTCTTTCATAATATGCTACTTTTTAGGATAGCTCAATTGTTTTGTTGAGTATAATTTGATGTTAAATTTATTATGGTATGAG